GAGGCCATTGCTCTTAGGTTGGAGGCCATTGCTCTTAGGTTGGAGGCTATCGTTCTTAGGTTGGTTCACATTCGACCCTTGACTCTAGCGGTTGACCTGTGATAGGTCTTATGCCGCCGGCTGCGCAGCTTGGGGCTGGAAGAGGGGCTGCATTGGCGGTATATAGATGTGGAGGATTTCAGCGCAAATGGTGGCGCCGTGCGACGCTCAGCAATTGGACGGATACTATTAGGACTTACCAGGAGACTCTTGTTGGTGCATGCAGGGATGGGAGGTGGTTTCTAAGCGACAGCGTTTCGTTCTCGCTTGCATCACCTGTTGCTTGAGCCACGAACTGCAAGGCTTTGCTTGATGCTATGAATCCACCGCCCTTTGCTTCGTTGCCTATGCTGGCAGTGTTGGGGTCTGATGGCTCAAGGCGACTTGAGCTCGCAGAGGTGCCAGCTGTGGTGTGCGAAAGGTCACAGAAGCTTGAAGGATCACATGTGAACCAACCTAAGAGCGATGTCCTCCAACCTAATGCGAAAGGTCACAGAAGTTCATGACCTTTATGGCTGCTAGCTGCACTTGATGCGAGGAGTTGATGGCCTTCAGCGATGCTGAGCTAAAGTCTTTCTGGACACCCCGCGAAGAAAACGTGCTCTTGCTGGCAGAACTGTTTGTCCGACTGGCAGACATGTCTAACATGTCCTCCCTGATTTCCATCCAAATCACGACTGGAGTTGGAGTATCATGGCTGGTTCAAGGAAGCAAACATGAAGAAAGAACCATACTCAGCACAAGACTTTTCAAGGGATTTGACCTGGCACAGTCTCAGACAGCTAGGCCGCCTAGGCCCCCTACGCTGATCCCAGATGAAGCTTCCGAGAACCAAGAAGCGGCGAACACGGCTTCGATGACTTCTAAAGGCTCTTAATTATTAGTAGCGTCCTTGTTCCTAGTAGCGATGGCCTCCAACCTACTTGCGATGTCCACCGAGCATAGCGTCCGCAAGCGACGAGTAAGTAGTCCATTGCGAACGTATGGCCGAAACGAGTCAACCCGAGTGGAACGGCCCAATGCGGCCCTAGTTTCTATCGCCCTTGGCGGGATGGTCGCCCGAGCGTAAGTCTTAGACGCCCTCGCCTTAGGGATCTCATCGCGGTTTTCAGCACCCATGGTCTAGTTCTGCTGGGGAAACCAGATACTCAAATTCTTTTGAGACAATCTTACTTTTAGCAGCTTAGCATGGCAAAGCTTTCCAACGGCAGAGCTTCTGAGGCCCCTGACTTGTGGGTCAGATGGGAGCCTTTGTGCAACCCTCAGCCCCGCGACTTGGCCAGAAATCAGCCCGAAGGTGCTCTGAGATACCACAAGTCAGGGCAGGTCCGTGAACCCGGAGTGACCCGTCTCGTGAGCCCGGAAGTCTGAAAGGATGCAGTACTAGTAACAAGGACGCCTAGTAGAAACAAGGTGCCACGCTACTAGTAATAGGTGCCTTACTAGTAGTAACAGGAAGCTATTAATTTAAAGTAAATTCTAATAGCTTTTTGTTACTACTAGTAAGGCACTTGTTACTACTAGCGTGGCACTTGTTACTAGTCGCCCAATAACGATGGCCTCAATCTGTAGTACATGGACAGTACATGGATGCAACCTCAGAGCCAGCGGTGGCACGTGCGAGGCGGGCCTATTGGGTGACTCCGGTGGTGCTGCCTCCGCCGAATCCTCAGGTTCTTTCGATTTGGAGGTCCAATTTGGAGGGCGAAAAAGAGAAGATTCTTTAGGAATGACCACAAGGGGCACAATGGTCTTAGAAACGAAAGAAGAGAACAATTCATTAGCAGATCAGCAAAACCAGTTGCAGTTTATTCTTAATTGGGTCCTTTATATGAAACTCTTATACCTATCCTTGTGTGGTCGAGGTCAGCTTCGCCAAGTCCTCTTCTAACACACCGAAGTGTGCGGAGTGACGGGAGTTTCCCTGCAGTTGGGGGCCTCAAGAAGGATCCGGAACAAAAAGCAGCTACACCCCCTGGAACTAACATGGAAGTGGAACATGGCCCCTTGCAAGATCATTTTCCACTACAAACAGGTTGTTTTCCACTTCCATGTTAGTTCCAGGGAGAGTATAGTATAACATATATTTTATGTGAATATCGTAGAACAATGACTCACCTGTTTCAATGGGCCTTTCGTGTTTGTTTTTTTTTGGGGGGAGGGGATCTGATGACACTTGTTGGCTTTACACATGTATAACACGTATGACTCAGTATGAGCCATGACACTTGTGACTGATATATGACAGATTCATGCAACAGATCGAAGTTAACTATCTCAATCTTGTGGGTCTATTTGCCACACACATGTTGTTTTGTGTTGTTTGTTTGCTCTATTTCACTTAATTTGCTGTGCTTCTGTGTTCCCAAGGCCTCTTGCATACGACTCTTCTCGCAGCCAAGCCTGCCTTCGTCGCCGGTACAGGTGGTCCGGCAGGCAGATTACCCCGAAGTCCGATCGGAAGTTGTAGCCATTGGCCATCGCTTGTAGGTTGGAGGCCGAGGCCATCGCTATTAGGTTCCTTTTGCTCTGGCGCGGCACACTCGGAAGGGTCTCTCTATGGTCCCGATGTCGCACCTGGTGTGCGCGCGCGCGCGCGACCGTTTCTAAACGAATCGCTACTGTGGGTATGTCACTCGAACCGAAGCATGGTATGACCTCACCAGTCCTCACCTCTCAACGAAAAATTTAGACCTGGGCCACCAGTCCGGTGACTCCGCTACGGGAACCCGGCGAGAACCGGCTTTGGTGTCATTTCCTTCAGACGAGAGATGGTTTGCTTTGTGAGATGATGGCGGCGGCATGAGGTCATGTTGTTTTGCGTGAAGGTGCGTGTTTTCTCGGTTTGGTGTATGTGTTTGACCACATTGAACCCAAACAAAGCTATACGGCTATAAGACGTGTGTTTCTTTAAAGCTGCTTTCCAAGTCCGCTTGATTCAACCCTTTCACGTCTTGTCGCCCCTAAAATCATCCCAAACTGTATGCATACCACACAGGCCTGTACACTGGACAGATAATGCCACACGTGCCGATTTGTGCGGCATTTTGTGTAATGATGCCGCTTCAGGAGCTTTGCACAAACCTTTTGGGCCCGGTTGGGGGCGGCTCCTGCGGCTCCAGGAATGAGACTGATGACACATATCTCCGCAGTAGCTGACGTTCCTTAGGATTATTGTGTGACCTTTTCGTGCCACAATAGCACACACACAATGCACAAAACGTATTTCCGCAACATCATGTTTTGTAAAGTCACAACCTCCCCCGCATCTTTCCCCTAGTGTGTTTTTCACCTACATCTCCAAGAGAGTACACACTAGTTTGTGGCCACACCGACTGCTTGCAATGCAATGTATGCACTGATGTTCTGTTCGGACATGTTCTTTTTGGCTGCTTGTGCTGGGGCAGTACAAGGGTTCTTGTGCCCACAGGGCAGTGCAACACACCCGAATACACTGTGAGTTTCTTCAGGTCTTTGTGTGCGTGCTGCCCCTCTCTACAGAGTGTCTACACAAAAAGCACGCTGTATTTGAGAGAGTAAAGATAGAAGAACTCGTGGATAAACAGCATACTTTGTTTAGTGTGCCAGCCAGTTCGTTTGAGCCAGCGTGCACGAAAGAACGAATCTTACCATCACGACGGCGTGTCATGAATGGTGTTGTATGAAGGCGCCAAATCCCTCGTTTGCATGTGGCAGTGGGTCACAACCTCCCCACGAAACCATCGATGTTTCACAGTTGACATCTGTAGTCTCTTCTGTTCATGTAGCGTGTCTGCCGATTTTGACTCACGGCCATGTATGGTGTTGAATATCTTTGATTTTGACACACTCCACTGCTAAAGTCAATAACATCACCATAACAAAGGAACAACAAAGTATTTCTTTGCATGCAAACGACAACATATATGATGTTTTAGTTGTTTCCAGCCCGATGCTGGTAGACGAACACTACGAACAGCGTCAACGCCGTCCAGTCAATGACAACCCATCCGCCTGTTACGTCGTTGCCATGTTTTCCATTAACATTTGGCGGATATCTTCGGCCCACATCCAACGCCTAACGCGCGCATCCAGTTGGTCGATTTGGTCGTTTTTCGAAGGTTGCGCCAGTCCAAGGAACAGGTCCCAGAAAGGGCTCCCCTCTGAATGACGATATTCCGACGTGTTCGAGGGTTGAAGAATCATTCCAGGCAGCAATTTGGAAGGATTCAAACCCAGCGCGTTCGGGGCTGAAAAGGGTTTGGTCCAGAGAATTCGTGAGACTCTTTGGCACAGGTGTCATTGCCTGCGTACACCACCCGGGCCCCGCATCCTTTTCCCAAGACGCCACGTACGGGCCTGAGTCAGAGACCGCAGTGCATGGCACTCTTTGGGCGGTCACGGGTAGTCCTGGCGGCCTGGCGAGGTTTTGATTTCCAACCGGAACGGCGAGCCACCATCCCAAAGGTCGTTGAAGCTGACAGTCCCAGGAACACAGCCACTGAGCTCGCATGAGAACGCGGGGATGTGGATGATGGGGATGATGGGGATGAACAGCTGCCAGGTTGGAGGCCATCTTTAGTAGGTTGGAGGAAGTGGGTGGAAGGGTGAGGGCCTTCCCCCAAAAGCCAGCTTCCGATTCCAAGTCCACCCCGTTTCGAGGGTCCAAACCTTCGAACAAGTCACAGAGAACAGAGTCCGATAGACGAAAGAAGAAGACGAAATCAGTAGCCAGACGGCCCAGACAGCTAGCTATGCCAAGCTGCAGCCCAGCTGAACCTGCTTCTGTTCAGCTCCTCTCAGATCCTTCCACAAGCGCAGACACCACCAACACGACCTCTGAAGATCCGTGCCTGGGCCGAATTTCAGGAACTTCAGCTTCCCTCAAAAGTCTGCCAAATGAATAGCTATCCTGCGTTCTAGGTAGTAGCTACCTAACTTCTACTAGCTATTTACCTTGCGGCCACCTCTACGGCCTACCCAGCTACAGTACGTGATCCGAGTGGCGAACGAATGGACCCCCTTCCACATCAGACCGAGGAGTGGTTGCGAGTCAGCTGAATCAGCTGAAGCGGAGTCCTCCGAAAGACCCCCACGGTGAAGAGGCCAAGCCTCAACTGGTTCACGCGGCAAGTGCCGCAGGCAGGGTCAAAACATGTGACATGTGATAAACCAAGATGTGCATATCATGAGTCAATGTAGATGTGGGAAGGGGCTGCATCCAATCTCGATTTGGGAGGAAGCTCACCGTGTGGGGATGCACTGCTGCCTACGCTGTTGAGAAGCAGAGGCCGATGGGCCGTGACGATGGCCGTGGTGAAACGGCAGACAGAACCACGGCCACGACATGTCCCGTCGAGCACGTGGTTTTTGCAGCGTGCCGTGTTCTTTTCTAGATTCAAGCCATGGTGCCATGCATTGGGTTCGTTCTTTCCTTCTACCTTTAGACTAAAGGGTCTTCAGTCCGATTACCAGACTAAAGTTCCTTCTACCTTTGATTCCTTCAGCTCCTTTCTTTTGTTTCTTTTCCGATGTTGGAAGCTGGGTGAATCAGGGGTGGCGGCGCGGAAGCAGATGGAAGTGCAGAGGGCAAAGGCGGAGGAAATCCGGGCCTTCGAGCGTAGATGCCGAGAGGCCGGAGCTGGGCGGGTTGGGGGGCCATCGCTATTGGGGTTGTGCAGGCTGCTAGGAAGAGGTGGCTACAGTCAGTAGCTAGTAGCTATTAGGTACTGGACGCTACTAGCTAAGACGCAGGATAA